TGGTGCTAATGAGCAAACTATATAATGCAGAATAAACTAAAGGAAAAAAAAAATCAAGTTTCCTAGGTGCAATAAGCAATTAGATACCCCAGAATTACTGATTTCCAGTTCAAGAATTACCAATTTACTGGTCCAAGAACATTGTAACTGACACTTCCTTGCAGGAGGCTTGATATAATTCTGTATTATTATAGAGTAGTTATATAATTGTAAGAATAAATATAATTCTATGTTGCTATAGAATAATATAGGTCAGCATAACTATTCTGAGTTTAGACTGTTTAAAAGTTGATCTGAACTTTCTGGTGCAATATCAGGCCTATGTCTTGTAGGTAAAGCCTGAACAACACCTTTTGCATCAGGCTCTGTACACTGCCTAGTCACCGGTTTTTGCTCCTGCATGATCCTTGTGCACAGGAGTTGTCTCTTACCACTGAAACAAGCATCTCTTTAGGTAGGTGCTGCACACATTTGGATACAAGTTGGACAGACTAGAAGCGGTAATACTGATACAGAAGGGCAGCTGGACCCTAGGAGCATACTGTAGCTCTCACAACCAAGAAGATTTTTATTTGTTATTGTTGTTAGAGCAATTTGTCAGGTTTGGTATCTACTGTGAAACTACAGTGTTCCTCCAGTTTTTTGGGTCTGGTTAAATGATCGTGTTTATCCAGGTGGCTGCCTGAGTCTTGGAGTATCATTTGCTGGAGAAAACTTGATTGCATGAGTTTAGTTGTTTGGGTTGTTTCCCAGTGTGCTGCCTCCCACTCCCACCCTAAAGCAATGGTAAAAGCTAGGCCTGGAATTTTTCCAGAATTACTGTTACAATTGTTTATGGTTATATTTTCCTAAGAATCTGCACTGTTCCCATTTAGTTTCAATTTTAGAAACATTATGATGCCATTGTATACAGATAAGGAAAAAACCTAAACTTTTTTTTAAACAGAAGGAAAAGCCAAAACCAGATCTTCACAGCATTTCTACTGAAGAAGTACCCATTTGTATCTTAAGGATGAAGTGCTGTTTTTTTCCTTCCTTCTTGGTTCTCTCAGGTTACATTTCTTCTACTCTCGAATAAAACCAGATGCGAGTATGAGAATACTGATTTCTGTGAATGCAGTGGCAGGTGGTTTAATATGGAGTTAATATCCCATAGTGCAGTTTGCTTAACCATCACCTGGCAGCCCTTGAGTTACTTACTTTAATATAGATTACAGGAAGGCCCCAGAGAGGTTCAAGGTTTTAGAGGAGAGGGACAGTATTGACAATACAGGTTTTATTTTTAACAAAGCCAGAAGCTACCTTCTATCCATAATCTTATGATTGATAATAGAAATAATTTAAAATATGATACTATTATAATGAACGCAGTGACAAAAACCACCTGGTAACAAGCTCAGTAATTGCCATCTAGATAGAAGCTTCCTATTAAGTCTGCAGGACTGTCTTCAGCCATAAGGGCTTGCTCTTCCATACTATTATTTGTAAGAAATGTGCAGCATATCATCATTAAATATTAACCTATCTCTTTACGTCAAAAGGAACTTTTTTTTTTTTTTAATATCAGAGTAAACAGACAAGGGTTATATTGGATTCTTCTGTTACTCAATACAAACACGTAAGACCTCCCAGAGAAATAAAAATAGCTCATCTTTTTTTGAGCAATCAGCAATGGGTATTGAACACCAATCAATTATTAGTGAGTCAGAGACACAACTGTTAACAAAGAGCTAACCTTTCAAAAGTAAAGATACTATAAAGGATGGTGTATTAGATTTCCAGAGGGTTTCAGAAAATAATTGGAATAACCAGTTAAAAATGAGATGATTACACAAAATATGGGAATATAAATAATGTTAATAGAGGAAGTTATAGAAGTAACAGGCCCTTTAAAACCAGACTGTTTTCCCAAAATCAATTAAACAGGAAAGAAAAAAAAATACACTAAATCTTATTGTCACTTGATGTGATACAGTAGCATTTCTGAAAGAAGGGCCTGTTTGGCACTGTGTTATCATTAATAAAAACAGAGCTGGCTAACTGATCAGTCAATCTTTCAAATGATCTTTAATGAAGAATCACAACAAATTTGGGATACTCCTAACGATGTCCTTTAAAAGCTGTAAAGACTACTAAAACCATAATTATTTTATGTTTTCATTGAAGATCTTGAAATAAGCAGAAGGCCCCTTACCAAATAAATATGTAGGTTGCACAAAACCCAGAGAGCACCGGATGGTGCTGAACCCAGGGCAGTCATTGAAGTGACCAAAGGGGGGGCAATGGCCAGTGTGTTCCAATGCAGCCAAATGAATAAATGTCATATACATGGACAAAAAAATATACAAACCACATATACTGAATACAGGCCTGCATCTCAGTGGGAACTGCAGCAGCAAGGAAGTACAGAAGCGTTTCCAGAACAGCACTACAGCAAGACATTTCTTTAGACATGTGAAATATAGAAATACGCAGAAGATTTTACTTTTGCATATAGTGTCATCGAGGACAAAACTGAAGACACAAAGATAAGACGTAGGATGTTTAAGCATCTTAACAGGAAGGGAAATAACACATGCTAAAGTGTTCCTAAGCAATAGCAGGAAAAGGAAAGAAAACCCATGAAAACAGACAATACTGAAGATTCAGCAGTTATTTTATTAACAGTGACATGACGCTGCATGACACTACCAGAAAAAGGAGGACAGATTCTGCATTTCCCAGCAGTTTTGAAGTGAGCCCACATGTCTTTTGGAAACAGTATTCTAATAAACAAAAATATGGAGGTATCTGGAGATTTTTAACGTTGAGAGACAGACAACACAGCAATGTATTCTGACTCTTAATAATTGAAGTCTATCAGCTGCCCCTACAACAGAAGCGGTTAGGAACAATACAGGCCCTTTAAAAAAAAAAAAAAAAAAAAAAAGAAATTCGATGTAGCTGAGAGCTAGAAGGAGCGATGATACTTAGAGACCAAACAGACGGGTTTCTAACGGGGAGCGGGGGCTGCTCTGCCAGGCGCCGGATGGGGGGGGCGGGGGAGCGCACCCCCTCTGCCAGAGGGCTGCGGGAGCTGAGGGAAAAGGGCTGACGAGTGCCTGCACCGCAACAAGCGCTGGCACAGTTTAAAAGACGGCACCTCACCAGCCCGCGGCCCCATCGCTTCCCCCACCCAGCCCCTGCGTGTCCGGGACGCCCCCCCCCCCGCCCCTCACCTTATCCCACAGCAACCACTGCTCGGCTGCGCGGCGGAGCGCGGCATCCCCGGCGGAGCTCCGCGCTGCCATGTCGCTACCGCCGCCCCGCTCCTTCCCGCTGCTTCCCTCTTCCGGAGCGCCCCCGCTCCGCCCGCCCGGGCCGCGGTCAGGGCCGGGCCGGGCCGCCCCGCCTCCGCCCCGGGCCCGGGCCCAGGCCCAGGCCGCGGTCAGGGCCGGGCCGCCCCGCCTCCGCCCCGGGCCCGGGCCCAGGCCCAGGCCGCGGTCAGGGCCGGGCCGCCCCACCTCCGCCCCCCGCCGGGGCCGGGGCTGGGGCTGGGGAGCTGTAGCCGGCCTGCGGGACTTGGTGGGCTGTGGGGAGGGTGTGTGTGTGGCCAACAGTGGGGTTTTTAATGATTTTATCTGATGAGGGCACGGGAGGAGCCCGGGGCGGCCTTCCCGAACAGTAGCGGCATGAAACGCGATAAATAGCACAGCTTGTTCGCGCTTCTCAAGCTGCTGCCTCCTGCTCGGCGTGGCTGGCAGAAGAAAACCAACGCTGGTTTTTAAAAGCATGACTTTTCATGGGCGTTGGACTACAGATGCTTAAATTTCTTTTCAAAGTCAATATAGCTGAAGGATGATCTCAGAAGAACCCTAATTTGAGATAAACATTATAAGCAAAATACATAGAGTCATTTAAGTAGGTGGCTTAAAACTTTAAGCGTTAGAATCATAGGTGGTATTTTTATGTACTCTTTACTGTTTGTAATGTGATAGCATAAAAAGGACAAAACCAAGGACCCAAGAAAAGTTTTTAGCCATGTCTGGGTTTTGGCAACAATGTAGCCAAATCTTCCCATAATATAAACACGAACAGATTGCATTCACCTGGAGGCAAAGAGGGAAAGAGGACAGAGAAATTCAGTGTCCAGCTTTCCTCCTCTGTTGCTCTGGCCTGTACACTCCAGAACAAGCTGGAATTCTGGCATGCAGGGGGGGATATTTCAGTGAACTGACCTATAACTGTTCTCTGTTCTTTTTTTTTTTTTTTTTTTTTTTTTTTGTGTTTAGTCTCAAACTTCAGAACTTAACATGACTTCTGTTTCTCTTCTAATTGCCAATAAGTCAACCATAGGAATTTATTTATGGAAGTCACAGCCACAGTGCTCTACTTCTGCTAATTCTGCGTGAGCATGCAAGCAGCCCAGCCTCACATCATGGCCCCTTCAGAGAGAATCCTGGATGATTCCTGTTCAGTGCTGTGAGAAGTCAGCTAACCCCATTTCCACTACTGGGGGCTAAAATTCCCATTCCTAAAAAGAGTTTGTTCAGTATCGTGAATATACTATTCATATTGAAGAATGCTTTTCATTTATTTGTGAATACATATTACACCCTTTCAAGTCGGAGCTGCTCATTGTTATCAGCTGAAATGTATTATTTCTACATGTTATCATTTATACACTAGACCACATATTAATGGCATGTATGATTGATTAGAATAATGAGTACTAATTGGGGAAATTTTCATAGAAATAATGACTTGTACAGATATTTGGAAACCTTTCATAGTCCAGTAGTATGTTACCAGAATGCATGTGAACAAGAGAAATGCTACATATCACTTTGCAAAGATGTTAATGAATATCCCTCTGCACTACCGATCAGCAAATATAACTGTTAAGATACCCTTCTGGTAAAACTCTGAGATGAAAGATCAGTGGAACTGAAGAATAAGAAAATCAGACAAAAATTATGTAGTTTGACTGTTTTTGGAATCATCTGTTTTCTCTCCTCTAGTGCTTTGGTAATGACCCTTCAGCAACAGTCCCTCTGGCCTCTGCATCTCTCTGAATGGACACAGATTTGCCCTCAGCTGCAAAATTGGGGAAAAAAAAGGTAACTGAATTTCACTGAGGAAAACTGATTTTGTTCCACCTGCCAGAATTAAAGAACAGTTAATACTGCATTGATTGAATAATTATTATAGCTTATAGCATAGTGTCTTTGAGAGAAGCCTGAGCTGCCAAGCTGTTGCTCTGTCTAAACAGTTCCTATAACTTAGCTCAGGTTTCGGCTGGAATCCCCTGAAGATGCCACGATAAGCCTCTATGGCCTGTTCATTTTCTTACAACTTTTGGAGCACAAGTATAGTCCAGAGAACACTGAACTCTCCTTCTTGCATAACAAGATACCTGGTATCAGCTTCTGAAAGTACTAAGAGAAACAACATTCTAATTACTCTGAAGCTTTGGGGGCAAGGTGCTCACTTTGGAAAAGCCCAAGGAGCTTTTCCCTACACTTTGTCAACCCCTATCTGAAGCTGAGCTAGACCAGGTGCCACAAAGAAAGCTATGAGGAGTGATTGGGATTTCTCTGCTCAACTCTGCAGTACTAGACAAGGTAGGGGAAAAATCCCTGGGTGTGGTATGCACAGGCATACTGTGGCTGCTGAGCAGTGCCAGGTCACTGTGGAGGTAGCATACAGGAGGAGGAGGAGGAGACACCTTGGAGCCAGTAGAGTAACTTGCTAGCATTGCCAAGTCCTGAATCTGAACTCCTGTGAGGGATAGAGCTGTTCAGGCACTTTCCAACGGTGTTTCATTGGGAACAATCTGAGCATCCCTTTTGTCTCATGTTTGAAGGATGAGGCAAACAAGGAAGGGGCTGCCCCTGTGGAAATGTCACCGAACTTCTGCCATGCTTCTCAAAGACAGGAGAGAAGTAACCACAGAAAACAAACAAGCAAACAAACAAAAACAACATTTGCATAGGTGAAGAACAATATAGCCACTAAGATATTGTCTTTGCAAAGCACCCTGGCAAAGTATCACCACTGTCTCAACTGAAGGAGTGGTGGCAAACAGGAACAGGTCTGTGGAGCATCTCCTCTTTCTCTTGCATACCTAAGGTTGACTAAAGATCAAACAGATTTTCTTCAAGATGGAGGAAATTGGTCATCAGGATCCATCACAGCGTGGGCTCAGCTGTGTCACTGAAAACCTGTTTGAAAGTCCTCGACTAATACCTTCTGGGACTGCTCTGAACAGAGTGGCCAGAACCACGCAACTTGCAAAGTGCCACAGTCCTAAAAACTTCATGATCTAATGGGACTAAAAGAAGTTGACAAAGGAAGAACAGCCAATTGCTGACTGCAGTTGCTCCTGTGACTAACATAATTTTCATGCAAACACCTCAATGTAAATGATTTCAAATACCAGATAATCTAACAATTCGATCCTTCCTAGTGATTCTTCCAGAAAGTGAATTTCCAAGAAACAATTAGAAGACCAACAGTATTTCATGAGAAGCCCTAGATACTGGCTTAGAGAGAAGTTGTATTTGACCAGAGATCAAAAACCAGATAAAACTGAGTCATAAAGAATGGAGTAATTTCCTTTTTCCAGCTGTTACCAAAACCAACTGAAGTCAACAAAATAAAAAATAAAAATTAAAAAAGTAACCAATAAAACAAGTAAAGTTACTGTCTTTTTATGCTCTTTCTGGGAACTTCAAATACTGTAGCTAATTTTACTTCAATCTTCAAAACTCGTGGAACCATTACTAAAATTCAAATTAATGCTAGAATTTCATAGTGGGGTACTTTAAGCACCCCTCTTCACCTACACTTTCTGAAGTGAAAAGCTTCAGATGAATAATGAGTGTTGTGAGAGGGGCTCAGTATGGTTGCAGCTGCACAGGCATTTTACCCCACTAGGAACTAAATGGCATTTGCTTGGTAACTGTTACTTCCTTAGCCATAACACCACAGCAGTAAACTGCTTTATTTAACTTGCAGATAGGAAGAAAAATTAGATCACTGTGGTCCTCATCAATATTTTCTGGCAAGTTTTGAATTTTATGTTATTGGGGTTTTTTTAAGGGCTTGGTCCAACTTTGAGAGAAACAATCTGTGTGTGTGGTGGTTAAATAATGTATCATTTCTTCTCAAAGCATGGCAGTCCATGAACATGCCTGCTCTCTGAAATAACAAAAAAAAACCCCCAACAAAACAAAAAACAAAAACCAAAGCCAAACAACAATGAAATAACTGCAAAGCTTCAAATTAATCATAGCTGCAAGTCAGCTACAACACAGGACTTCTTTGGACTATGTCATGCTGTTCAAATTGTATTTCACAGAGCGACTGCTGTGTTGGATATAGTGTTTTCTCTTTTAGCAGACTGTAGAGACAGTCTTATCTGTCAGTCAGAAGACTAGGAATCAGTTTGCACCCTTCTGGAGAACTTTAAAGCCCACAGGCCTGATAGCACAGCAGATGTTACTACTACAGATAGCTCTCTAAGAGCAATAGAACTACAATAAAAGAGAAATCCTGAGAGAAATTTATAGAAGCTTGAATTTCAACTCAGCCTAAGGTCACAAACAAAATCATTCCCAAGTCAAAACAGCATGTGATTTCTGTAATTGTCAATATACATGGCATTTTGATAAATTATGTACTTGATGGTACTTTTCTGGCTGATGAAAGAGGTTTATCTAATATATCTCTTACATATTTTTTGGTTGTCATTTGGCTGTAAGCTGCAAGGAATTCTATTTGTTGTCCACTGTTATGGTATTTCTTTGGCCCAGATTTCACACTGAAGAGTATCATCACTGGAAGGAAATCCAAGGAAGAAAATGTAGGGAAGAAAATGGAAGAAAGAAGTAATGGCTATGGAATACTGGCAGATAGTTCCTTTGTCATCTTCTGGTGGGTGCTTAACGAGGTGTAAGCAAGGCTTTGCACTTGCTGTCACATGAAGCTGCCTGCTGTAGGAATAAGGGCACTGCAAACATAAGAGATGAGACAAGCAGTTAGTGGTTCAATGTAGACATATTTTCTCTCTTTTTGTCAGTGCCTACATACTGATTTTTCAGATTCAGTGTTTCAGTTAACACCTGAAATACAGTTAGAAGTGCCAACAATGTCTTGCATTTTCAGTGTATCACATAAGTTCAGCACTAATTGTTAGCACAAGTAATTAAATATTACTTGTCGTTCGTCAGGTAATAGATGAGTTTGCTGTGTGACAAAATTAAAAGGCACATTTATTAAGGAAGCTGGTCTAAGCTGATGAGATCTGCCAAAGAGCTAACAAAAATCTGAAGCTGTTTAAGTCATAGACTACTTGGCCTTAACTGTGTTATCTTAGAAATTTCATAGGCATTGTAAAAAGACATTTCCTAGAGAAATTTTTGGTATAGCATACTATTCTGCACGTGCTGAAACAACATGAGAGATTCCAGTTAACTTATCAATGAGGATTTTTTTAAAAAATCCAGTTATCTACAACCATAGGTTGTACAGGAGGATTTTATCAATGTGTATAAATACCTGAAAGGAGGACAGAAAGGGGATGGAGCCAGGCTCTTTTCAGTGGTGCCCAGTGACAGGACAAGAGGAAACAGGCATGAACTGAAATACGGGAGGTTCCAGGACGACATTAGGAAATATTCACTGTGAGGGTGACTGAGCACTGGTGCAGGTTGCTCAGGGAGGTTGTGGAGTTTAGTTCCTTGAACATATGTACAAGCCGTCTGGACACAGTCCAGAGCAAGCGGCTCTGGGTGGCCTTGCTTGACCTCCAGAGGTTCCTTCCAATCTCAGCCATTCTGTGATTCTGTGGTAGGTGAGGTGTCACGCATTCTGGCAAGGAACCTACATTTTTCATTGCTGACTTCTGCATTACAGTGATAGAGCTGTACAGAAAATTTGTGAAATGCTAAGAGAAAGCAAATATCACAATCAGTGATGTTTTCCTGTTATGTATGCAAATACTACTTTTAAACTCTTCTACCCAATTCCCCCATTTTCTGTGTGCTTTCAGTGTATAACCATTCCCCATTTACTGACAACTGGGACATAGCAATTGATATTTGTGGTACCTACAGAAATAAAGAAAAGGACTAAGGATTATAGGATATTACTGCTAACAAGTTAAAGTTAGCTGTATGTTTGCAGAGTTTAAAGTGCACACATATTTTAGCTCTACTACTTTGTGCAGTCTGAAAATTTCAAGGTTTTTTATTAGTTTCCATTTTCATCGCTAGCTTGAAATACCAGTGGGAGGCAGGAGAGAAGAAAGCTTTGATTCTATAGCAGAGATCGACTGGGAAACTCTGGCACACATTGTACATTTCAAAAAGCATATACAGCCCTCAGAAGCGGATGTTGTCTTAAATGAAGCACTGTTCTTGTAACCCGATAAGAGCGGAGGGGGAAACAGAAGAAGAGAAGTAGGAAGGATGTAGTGGATATTGTATTCCTGGCTTGAATTTTAGTATTTATTCTCCACTTCTGTCATCTACCAGCTAACTCAAGGATGCGTCACGTTATTTTACATTTCCTCTTGGAATTCTTTTCTCCATTGTTTATTGTAAGCCTCTTGTTCACAACTGAAAGTCTTTTCCAATTTCCACTGTTTGGCATAAACTCCTGACCTCTGGCAGGCAGGCAGATCTCGGATTCTGTGGCAGCTGAACTACTAAAATGTGTTTTTTCTGCCTTGTTCTAGACAGCACCAGGTTTCCAGGTTCAAGGATGAATTAACGTAAGTTTGCTCAACAGATAGGAGAAAGTTAGAGCTAATGCCAGTTCTTTTCAAGTATATTTTGGATTGCTGCCCTTCTCTTAGATGTTGCTTCATTTTTAAAGTTCAAAAGTGCAAGTTTAAGTGAAAAATAAAATTAGTCTGACTAATAAATACATGACCTTGAACTCACCCCTTATGCAAATGATTCAAATTATGCTGTGACAGAAATGAAGTATTTGGTGTTTTGGTTTCACAGAATTAAAGAGTAACATGCACAGATTATTTTGGCCCAACTCCTTTATGAAAGAGGTGAGTGGAGTACACTATTTTTATCTATGTTCTTAAGTTCTGTTGTAACTGTAATTAAACTTTCTTCCGTCATTAGGTAAATTTCTGGGTACCTAGGTAGTCTTACTAAGACTACAGCTTGTTTCTGACAACACAGTGCTGTCTGCTACAGAAATGGGGTTGAGAGTGATTCTGACAGTTCTCTTGCCCAAAGTTACAGAAAGGTTCTCTTAACCAGTATCCAGAGCAGAAGTAAAAATATCTGAAGTGGTTGCAGCATAAATATACTGGATAGATATTTGCCTTAAGAACAATAAATTATGAGGATTATAGACAAGTTTCCCAAAAATGTTAAGCTTCTAAAGCCTACTTTAGACTTCTAAGTAAGCTGTTTCTCAAAAGTGCTGAACCTGCAGCAGTTCCCATTGAATGATCAGGCTTGTAAATGCATGACTGAGAGGCATGATGGCAATATCAAAGGGAAAAGGAGGTTGCTTTAAAAAAACTGGCACAGTATGCTGTTATAATATACAACTACACTCCACAGTTTACACCACCAAAGTTTAAACATTTGTTTTACAGCCAGAAAAACTGAGCTCATATGCAAAAAATTTATCTGATGTCCCACTGATGGAGGAAATAGTACCTAAGATATGGAAAGTTAGTACCTTCATATTTGTGCTAAAAAGCTGCTCTAAGAAGAAGGTAGAGCTAAATGCTCTACCTTGCTTTTCCTAAATAAATTTAAAATTCTGCAATTAAGGAACTGGTTTAAAAGAAGTAGACTCTTACTAATGCAGATTATTTACTCTTGGTGGAGGAGGTAAAGCATATCCTACTGAAGCCATACAAGCACTAAATGAAAGGCTATACTGAGAAATCTGTATAGCAGTCTTAAAATGTCTTCAAACAACTTGGAGAATGAACTACAGCTGCATTTTTAAACTGCAAAAAGTTTTAGTTAAAATGTAACAGAATAGTTAAAAAAATTAACTAGGTTTTTCAAAAGCTTTTCTTATTTCAGTATTCATGTTATGATTTAATAGGAAAAGGATGCCCTCTCTCGGTCACAGCAGAAATAATTACAGAGATTATTGCTGTAAGAGTTGAGAACTGCATTCTCAGTGTCTTGCCTTGTAAAAAATCCTCACATTTCTGCCAGATAACAATTGTTTGATAATTTAGTGCTAGTCTTCCTGTAATCTGGGGGCAGGAGTTTCCTCTGCTTGTCTTCAGAACTGCGCAATAGGAAACAAATGTCAGTGAATAAAAAATATCTGCACTGTTCCTTACGGTGCTACAATATTCCTGTTTCCATGATGTTCCACTGTCAAGGAATTAAAAGAAATACTGAGAACATAACAGCATTTCCATGCATTTGGAAAATTACCGTCTTTCCCGTATCTCATTTTGCTTTAAGTTGTATTCAGCTAAATTTTACTGTCTGATTTTTAATATATAGAAATATCCTATTGTTAATATGTAGAAAACTTAAGTAAATTATCATAGTAATACGCTTCAGTGAATACTCTGAAACTTCACTATGAGTCTAGGGGTTTTGTTTTGCTTCCTACCTTCTGTGACCAAACTGTTGAAAGGAATTAATGTTGCCACCCCTGAGAACAATTTGCTTCTGTAGCCATTCCTGTATTAATTGATGTTTCTGGTGTCATGTACTTGCTTGGTAAATGCAAATATCTCACTAGGTGTTTGGCTTGATGCCTCCACTGCTTTAGAAATTGTTTGGAGATTTGCTTTCTGATTTTCTGATTAGGATAATTATGCTTATTTTTATTCCTGGTTTACTTGCCAAATACTCAGACTCAAAGTTACTTCCTGCTTGTTCATATTTTGTAGGTGATAGGGGAGTCATAGGATGCTTGTTTTTCACACCAAGATTGCAATGATCTATGATCAAAAGAAGCAGTATTATAATGTCTTGCAATTCTACCCCATGTCCTAGAATGGGAATGCACTGAAAAGATTTGAACATGTTTGATTTAAGCTATAGTTTGTTTCTTATTTAACAACAACAGATTCATAATATCACAAGCAGTAATTAACTCTTTGCAAATACACTATAAGCGCTTCATAGTATCCCTCCCCTGAAGCACAATTATCTGATATCAGTAAGAGACATGTCTGCCTTGTCCAGGGATGTATGACCACCATATAATTAGATCTATATTAGGAATTGATAGTTCATATTGTAGAGCTTTGGATCATATGGTAAACCTTAAAAAAAATATACTAGCAAAAACCCCCCCCAGAAGTTTACAAAAGCTTTACAAAGGAAAGCACTCTGTACACAAAAACTGTACTTGCAGATAGAGATGGGTAACAAGAAAAGAAGAAGCCCAAGTCAAATTCCTGAGAAGCTTGAAGTTTGTTTGAAACTTCTTAGGAAAAAATATGACATGGTACAAAACCAGCACTGCAGAAACCCTTCAATACAAACTATGCAAAGGAAGCAATATTATCTATTCTGGAGACTATCTTGCCATTCCTAGTTGTGTTAGAATCAGATTTATCCTTAGAATATCTGTCTGGTCTGAAGCAGCATTAACTTTCCATTTAGCAGATGTATTGCTCTGAAAAAAGGGAAAAGTTTTATTAAAGTGAGAAGGCTGTTAGTAAGGAAGAGACAGAACCACAGTATTAAGCAACATAAAAACAAGTGTAGTAATATATAGTCTACAATTATGGGCACAAATTTAAAGTTCCCATTTGTCCACAGACAAGCCCCAGATAACCCAAGACAGCTCTGCTTGAGGAGGCATTTATTGCTACTTCTGTAATCAGCAAAGAGGCCAGGATGGCTTGGTGGCTCTACAGCACGTTCATTCTGTTGACATGGAAGAGTGCAAATCTGGTGACATGTAGACAGGCTACAACTGCCATTCAAACCCTCTTTGGTGAATGAACTACAGGTATTGTGCACCGATGACAAAGAGAGAGAGCACAGTTTCTGTAGGTGCCTGCTGATGAAAGGACTATATTGAATGATAAAGTTTTAACACTACATTCTGAAACCTGTTCTTTATTGCAGCACTCTACCGTTACTTTATTGTACATACTGCTGGTGTATTGTAATACAATATTATTGTAGAGAAAACTGTACAATTTCCTCCATAGATGTAAATATTTGCTGGAACAAAGTCTTCCTGACAAAAACACCATTAGAGTTCTCAAGCAATTCAGTGTCAATAAGATGAGATAATGCTTTTCTATTTAAAGGCTAGCTTTAAAGCAATAATCTGTTACACAAACTAAAAGATTAGTAAGTATGAAGTAAACTGGAACAATAAATCCTATATATAGACAATACACATCAGCTCATCATCAGTGTGGGCAACCATGCCATGCAGGCACAGACAATCATTCACATCTTTCTTTTCATGAAGCAAAAGTATGTGAGCTCAGTCACATACCAGATAAACTGTCAGCAAGGAGACTTACTGGACACACTATTTTGAATTTTTAGTTGAAATGATTAAACACTTTCACGAGCATTCAGCTCGTGCTCTAAAAACAAAGCAGCTAAATACACACACAGGCACAAGTCACTTGGTTCCCCATGATACAAAATTTGAATCGTGCAGTAGCTTCAGTTTTCTTAGTGCATCACAAAATGTGTGGCACATAAATTTTGGGTGTTTTATTAAACACATATCCTCTTATTTTCTACCCCTCCCTATATTGTGTGAGGAACTTCTACTCCTGTTAGCTTACATTGCAACAAATTTAAACAGCACTAAAACTTTTATACACGGCAATCTAACAGTAAAATGTTTGGGTATTTCAGTGTCTTTTAAAACTAGGTTTGCAATATTTTGAACAAGAGATGCATCTGTCTTCAAAGTATTTTCTCAGCTTTCTTGTTAAATGTTACAGTTTTATGAGTCATGTTTTCTTCTGATTCAAGTATTCAAAAAAAGGAGTCAGCTTTGGTATCTTAACAGGAAATTTGATAAATATTTGTGGCAAAACTGGGAAATAAAAACTGCAAGGAAATAAAATACTTCTCTTTCTGTGCTTCTAGAAGATGAGGGTTCTCTGTCTGAGTAATGGGGGGCTCCCAAGCCCAGGGGTGCCCATGGGTCCTCCCACCTCCATCTCCCACCTCTGCCCATGGCTGGACCCCCTCTGCAAGCTGCCCAGGAAGACAGCAGGACACACGGCCACCCGGTGCAGAGCTGAAAGTTTCCACCCATCCCATGAGCTGACCTAATGCTCTGAGGGCCTGAGAAAGTGCCAGAAGAAGTCATGAGGAAGAGGGCTTCTTATTAAAAAAATCTCTAACTTTTAGATGGACTTCACTGCTTGTCAAGCAGGAGAGCAGACCTTGTAAGCGAGGGAGAAGCTTCTTCATGTCCCTGCTCCTGGTCCTGCCACCTCCCACCCTGAGATTTTGTGCACAGAGTCCCAGTCCTCCTCTGCCATGCTCTTTCCCAGCGCAAAAGCTAGGACATGTTAAATAAAAATGGACAATGAAGGTTCTTTATGTGAGATGTAAATTTGTGGAAGTCCCTGATAAGGATGCTAGAAACCTGCATGGTTCACAGGGCAATTAGAAGCTTAAGGAACAGACATTCAGCAAGGGCTACTGAATATTTAGGCATCACTACTAAGCACGTGTGCAAGGGTGCAGATTGATTGAGGCTGTGCAGATAGTCAGCTGGGGCAGCTTTGTCCTATAGTCTATTCGGTCTGGCTGAACACCCATGAGCCTCAGCTGTCAATCATCTCATAGACAGAAATGTATTTAACAAAAACCTTGTTTATTCATATAGAAGCAAAGTTTCTCCCCTCAAAAAAGCAATTGCACGCTGTACAGCAGCAGCTGTTCTAACTACAGCATCACTAACCCATCGCTTTTCTTGCCAACCACTTCTTCCTTCCTTAGAGATCTGCATCCTCTGATTTATTTTGCTGCCTGTTATCTCTTAGAATCAATACATTTTAAAAAATAGTTACTGTGTGAAATATAGCACTTCAAAGAAGATCCTGATTCTGATGTAAGGCTCTCCCTTATATTGCTCATTTTCATCCAGGAGTCTAAAAATTAGCAGATCTGATGTACATATTTCTGATTATTGTGTCTCAGGATGCTTCTCATTGACACCTTTCTCTGTTCTACTCACCCAGAAGCAGCATTCTTCAGGGCACAGTTTAGCACAAAACATCTTGTAATTACTAGTATTATTACTTCCTCACTTATTTCCACTTTGTATGTTATTTTATTTTAAAAAGCAGACTGCACTGTGCTTCTCCCCTTTCCCAAGAAAGACATTTTGGTACAGTGGTAATATGAAGGCACTATCTTGTTACCAACAATAAAGATAACACACCATGAGATTGCAGACAGTACAACACGGTACTGAAGAGGTGAAAAATAATAACATAACCCACTGTTGAGTACAGAGATGTAGTGCTTTTTCATAAGGTGCTGTAGGAAAGGACAGACAGGAGAATAAAGCAGCACAGTAGGTTTGCAGCACAGCTGACATTGTGTAATAACCTAGATAGATAGATATAAAAAGTCATAACTACATACAAGTTTCATCTACAGTACTCCAGGTTGTAATTAGAATTTTGGCTTCCAGGATTTCTGAGCAATTTTAAATTTTAGTATAATATTGCAGGTTATCATATTTCTCATTTCATAAAACTTGCATCATCATAGCTATTAAAAAAGTCTTTCATGACCAGTCTTAATATCAGTAGCTTCACTGAAAAAATATAAATAGGACGAGAAGCATTTTTCTGTGGGAGCAAATCTTTAGGAAAAAATTCAGGAAAACTTTTCTTTTTAAAAGGTAAAGACCCCCCTGCCCAGTATTTCAGAAAGCATGTTCACCTAATTCTGAGCATTTGTTCATAGGAGTGCTACACTATATTACCCATTTAATGAAAAAAATAGCATTATTTTTATCTTATAGCCATGGAGAATAGGCTAGCAACCACTGACAATTAAAGGAATTTAAAACCAATGCAGTTACTCAGATTTACTTTCTATGCCACTGAAAAAAAAATGGCACTCTCCATTCTCAAAAGCAAAACCATCTTATATAAAAAATAATGGAATAACGGGAAGAATATCAGTTGTCCCACTTTTCCCATTAACACTTTTGTGTACTGAAGAAAATGACCAGTGTAACATTTTTAGATCACATTTTTCGACATAAAAGTGGAGATTTATCTTGATTGGCTCCTCTTCTAGGTAAGGCAACAATTTACCTTCAAGACAAAATTCAATCTTACGTTAGCTGACAGCCACCATACTTTGAAGATACCTGAAATATCTTGATTTTGTTGTCTACTCATTACAGTAAAATTTTAATTGGGGCTATAGACAAGCAAATTTAATGCATCACCTCTGATTCTTTCGGTTTAGAAGCTTATTCTGATGTGACCCTGATGGCAGTATTGAAGACAGCAAAGCACACGTATTTGAAGTGAGAAGTACAATGACAGTGAACTAAGTTTGCAGGGTGGCAGTGGATAAAAGAGAGGCTTTCAAACATAAAATAGCTTCTTTCAACCCTGGCTCAGAAGTGACTCCTTAGGGATTGCATTTTGCCTTATGTTGCTTACACTTTCGAGACCTAAAGTAAGTTTACCAGCTAAGTTCTGATGAAGTGACTTATTTTTAGCTGACAGAAGCTCCCAAGAGGAACAATGAGCCATGATTTCCATTTCACATTTACTGTAAGACTTATGAGCTATTTAAGATCCTTTTGGGTTGCTGTTATGGCTTAGAGGTTCACAGCAGGTCAGCCAGCACTGAGGCACCAAATACAACGTCAACATCGCTATTAAACACACAGAGAAATTTTACTTGTCAAAGAAAGATACATTGACCATAGCACAAACAAGCAAACAAAAAAAAAAAAAACCTCTCCACCATTATTTAGGATATTCATGGGTATTGCCATTTGACTAGACAGACTAATACAAATCTACAAAAGTCAGAAAATAGAAAAAAAATGTAAGGAGGAGAGAAGGACTGAGTGAGACAAAATCCCAGGTGTCAATAGGGCAGTTCACCACAGATTTATTTACTATAGATGGGCTTTCTATTAATCATCCACTGGTGGTAGTACTGGTAGTATTACTGGTAGCCTTTTGAACACAGAAACAGTCAGCAATACAGCCTGACTTATCTGTACAATAGGGGGGAAAAACCCCAACAGTGCACAAAGGAGCAAAAGTAATCCCTTTCCCCACCGTATTCACCACCCTAAGTTAACCCGAAAACACTATTATGCCCTACTTGAAAAGGCTGTAAGCAGCTATCTGCATGACAGGCAAGGATCCCATGCAAACATTTCCTCAGCTGACAAAACCACAAGCTTTTGGCATGGCTGTATGGGAGCTGGTAACCTTTCCGGCTGCTGAAATAGATCTGTGTTCCTATTTTAAGGTGCAGAGCTCCTTGCTCTGCAATGCTCAGCTGAACTGATCTTGATACCCTTATTTATGTGCTGCCTACCTTAGCAAGCAGCTGGGGACTTCAACTGCTACTCGGGTTACTCTGAGCTGCCCAAGGGGCCGGTCCTCCTCCCGCATCCCAGCTCTCCTGCAACCCATGACAACCAGTCTGGCCAAAAGGCAGGAGGGGCTGAGCGGGAAGCCGCGTGAAGTACTAGCACTACCTTTACAGTGTTACTAGCTGGCGGTATATTCTCTTGACAGAACTTACCGTCCTACTGGAGCTTGATTTTTCTTTCGAATACGGGTATTTTATATTTTAAAGGGAAAAAAAAAATCCTCTTGACAAAGTTCCTTGCAGTGGAGAATTAAGTGAGGGATCTGACCTTATACGGCAGCACTGTTTTGACTTGGCTTGCACTCTGTTGTTATTGTGGTGTGTGGACAAACACCGTTGCAAAAAAAAGCCTTTGATTTTTTTTAGTCAAAATATTTTGAACAGAAGGAATGTGAAAATATTCAGCAGGACCTTCTTACCTTTACCATAGGACCTCAGTAGTTGAGACAAGATTACATTTTATAAATATCAGGTGGAAAGCTCGATTATGGCTTCTATTTGTAGTGTGCTATGACCAGAAGCAAATATTTGGAGATAGAAGGCCTTTTGTTGACTTAACACTCTTGATGGATGCTATGGAATAATTTGGGTGTTTACTTTAGGGGGCTGAATAAAGGTCAGATGAATCCTTAGAAAAAATCTCTAGTACCATATACTACTTATATGTTCCCTGTGAAGTGATTTAAGAATCTAGGATTTTTACCTA